CGGATTTCATTAAAATTGTAATTAAATACATAACTGGGAGCTATACAGTGTACAGTATTTTACGGGCTATATAAATATAATTTTACTGTAACTGGACTTACAGCAAACAAACAGATTGAAATAAGTTCTTTTATTGTAATATACTGTTTAGTCAATATATCGTCAAAAATATTATCGATATTTTCAATATTTCTCGTGCTTTAAATGTAATTTATACATTCGAATAAAACTCCAGATTCATATTGCTTAAACTAAATAACGAGAACTCGAAATTCTCAATTCAATCATCAAATATTATCAGATTTTTAAATCTATTGCATTGTAAAATGAGTGACTCTTATGAGTTTACTCTGGCTGGTTTAAATATAATGTCGATCTGCATTTACTTCGAAGAAGTGTTATATTCGTAAAAAGAAAAACATTCTTTAAAATCGTTGTGCTCAATTAAAACTTGCTTCATTTCAATTTATAGAATTTTTTTAAAAGGTTTAAGATTTTCAATGCCATTCAATAGGGTTCAATGCGGTGTGAAATTTTGAAAGTTTTGATTTATTTCAGAACCAATATTTCAGATCTTTCAAATTCTTATCAAAATCGAAATCGGCAAATATTGATGCCAAAGAATTTGTGTATCCAAAAAATTTCCTTTTTTGGTCCTGGTTTGGTCCCTTTTTTAAAAACGGGGAAATGGGGTCATTAAAAAAATTTAAGTAAATATGGTTAAATCTTTTTCTTAAAGGCCTTGAGAAGTCCCACAGTTTTTGTTAGATAATATTATGTTTAAAAATCGTCTTCTTTTCTCAAAATATATATTTAATCGTGTTATAAATCACATTAATCTGTCCATAAATTTTAATTGTAGATAATTTGAATTAGAAAACAATGAATAATCTTTGAATTTATTTTATATTTTGCTTTTCTTACAAAATTGATGATATGAAAAAAAATTCTATGTATACATATATATATATTTTTTACGTCTTGCTAATAAAAAATAAATAAAAAAATTTAATTTTCAATTACGCATTTAAATATTTTTCTAATGTTTCCGTAAACCGCGAAAATAAAGAAAAAACAAGAAATAAAAAAAAATTTTGAATCGAAATGTAAGGGAAAATTTTGTTTTTATAAGCATTTTGTGATACAAAAAATCGAGATTTATGACTAACAGGTGTTTCATGTATGTGAAAATAATTTTTTTTATCCCAATTTTTTTGTTTATATTTGCTGTGGTCTTTTATTTTTAATTGCAAAATACAAAAAAAAAAAAAAAAGCAAACGATATAAAAAATGTATGAAAATTTTTTAAGGGCTTTTCTTCTTTTTTCTTTTTTTTCTTTTTTTTTTTTTTGATCTCACAAATCCATTTAATAGTGAGTGAATCATTTTGAATAATTTGCCACGTAATTCAAGAAAATTTGTTTTTATGAAAAAATTTTTTTTTTGTTCTTGTTTACCTTGAAAAAGTGAAAATAACCAAAGCACACTAAAAAATATTAGAGAAAGAATGAAAAGAAGGGAAATTTCGTTGTAATGAATTTTAAAAACATGTAAATTCAAAGTTCTTATTACAGAATGAATTAAAATAAAATTTCGGTAGTTTGATCCGATCGAATAAATTTGATGTTATTGCTAAAAAAAGTGGATTTTTAAAAAAGGGGCATGGCAGTAGGGGAACTTTGGGAAAAATCCATTCATAATACTAAGAATTGACTTCTTTATATTTTTAAGTGAATATTTCGTTAGCAATCAGTCAGGGTAGAATTTGTAAAAGCAGATTAAATGTAAATTTAAATTTCGGCTTAAAATCTAGAAATAACTTTTGTGCCATTCAAGTATTTGAATTAAATCATTTCCTTGGCAAGTGTCTCAGTTAAATGTATCTCTTGGAAGTTATCCCCGTAATAAATTCGCGTATCTTGTGTATTTTAGTAACAGTAACTTCTCTGGCACCAGAGCATTTGAAAAACTTCCTCCTTATGTGGATGTGTAACAGATTTTTTAATTAAATAAATAAATTGAACTGTTAAGTAATAAGCTGACTAGGTAAAATATCTGAGGAATTATTTCAAATTTTACGATTTAGATTATCAATTCGTTTTGGAAAATATCAAAAATTAAACGATTTACTGCACTGAGAAAAAAATGATATTTACTTGAAAAACTTATCGAGCTAAATTCATGAAATTTTTATAAATTGGGTTTTGTTATTAAATTTTTTAGTATCCAAATAAATTTGAGTGCGTTTTTCAATTCCTCATTTTCAAAAAATTTAGAATCGTTTATTTGTATCGGATCTCACAGAATTGACAAGATGAATTCTATACTAATTCTTGTAATTTTTTTTACAAATTTTTCCATTATGTTTCTTCAATTGACTCTCAGTCTTTATTAAATGAATTCATTTTAGAAATCTACCTTTTTTACTTTTAAAATACAATATTTCTGGAATTTCTTACAAATCTTAGCATATGTAAAGAGCAATGTTGAAGATAAAAACTGGAAAATTATGAATTATGAAATTTAGCTTCTTGTTCAATTTTAAAAATACTAAACTACATATATAAAATATAAGCCCACTGCTGGCTATAGATGGCATTCACATTTCAAAATTTTGACTACACATTTGATTATAAAATAGATTTTGTTTTCTCATTTTTTTGTATATTAAAAACAATTAAAATAAATAACATTGTGTATAAGAACAACATAAATTAAATTAAAATAAATATCAATAATGACAAAAAACAAATTTTATACAAAGTATAGATAGGAAAAAAAAGGATAAAAACCCCAAAAATTGTCCATAAATTTGAATATTAGGATATTAAATATTGGGAGAACAAAAATAAACTGAGACCGAAAAAAAATCAAATTTATTTTAAATTCAGTCATTTTTCTTTATAGTTCAATGTTTCTTTCATTTCAATTTCAAGGTTATATTCATATTATCGCTAGCCCAACAGAAAAAAAAAGAGTAAATAATTTCTCATTCTACTGGCCCTCTTACAATATTTTTTTAAAGAAACAATCAACTACTCTAATAAATGATAATAAAAGACAAAACCAACAATGAGAAAAGAATATTTAAAGCATAAAAATAATGACAGTAAGTAGGTATACGACATACATAATCACGCAAACAATAATAAAAAAAAAATTTAATATTCTGTATGCAAACCTTTTAAAATTCATTTTAGGTAACCAAAGTAGCAAAGCAGTTATAGAAGAAGAATAAAAAGTTTATAAAAGAAGAAGAACAGTCACAGAAAGAGTATATAAAAGAAATCATATTGTGATAATGGGATACATAAAATATGATTTTGTTTTTTCTTGTGGTTGATCAAATTAAAAATTCTGGTCTGAAGGTCAATATATTTGCCTATATAATATTTATATTTTAGCATATACAGTGTAAATTTCCTCTTCTTCCACAATTCTCCTGCAGCTTAACAGCCTAAATAAATGAGGTACCCAAAGAGAGAATTATTATTTTTATATAATGAATAAAAAGTTTATCACAAATGATTGGTAGTTGTGGCTCAAAAATTGACTTTATTTTTTGGGGTTTTAGGTAGGTATTATTTTCTTTTTTAAACTTTTCAAAGAAATTAGAAAATATTGCGTTTATTAGTTTCATTCTTTTTTTTCGTGTATCCGTTCGTTTGCAAAACTTTTATATCCTCAAAATAAGAAAGTATAACAGATTTAAGTAAAAGCAATAAATTTCTTTAGAATAAACTTTTTCCTATATTCTCTTTCCAATATTTTCCTATATTCTCTTTTTCAGAGTTGTAAAAACACCAATTTTTTATAAATTAATATTGCCAAACCAAAACCCTCTTTGAAATAAAAAGCTATAAGCAAGTATTAGGCAGTAGAGTCGGTCATTGAAATGTTCTTTCACTGTTGATTATTTCTTGGTTTTTCATTATTTTTCAGAGCAATTTTAATCCTACAGTATTTTTTCAAAAGTTCGCTATATCGCAAATTTGTATCGCTATAATAGAATTCCATATTTCAATAAATCGTTTTTATTACTTAGGTCTAAAGTTACAGAAACACAAACTTCAGATTTAAATTTTGTTAAAAGGAAATGTGCTGTTTTGCAAGCCGTTGGGTTTAAACTACCTATTTTACCTTCTTGTATTTTAGTTATTAAGATTTTACGTTATTTTGTACCCTTTTTTTCTGATTTTTGGGGTTGATTTATTAGAGATGGAAAAAGGGGCTCCCGTTAAATATAGCAAAGCTGTTTTTTTTATTTATTTTTAAAATACTAGTCAGCAAAACTGATTAAAATCATGATTTCATTTCTGATGTCATTTTAATCTTCTAATACTTTCTATTATTTATTTATATACACACTTAGCAAAAAAATAATGCAGTCTAATACCGTAAGTAGATTATGTGGTAAATTTATAAATTGTCATGTAGTTTGAGAATTTTTTTTTATTCAAATATTTTACTAATGTAATTAATATTAAATATAATTTTGTAACAAAATTAAGAGAAAATTTAAAAAATTCCCACAATATACCAAAACTTTTCAACAATATTGTGTTTGTCATACTGATTGCTTTATTAAAACACTAACTTTTAAGAAATGAATGTTTGTTTTCCTATGGGAAATTTTGGTGATTAATAGAGTAGATAGGAGGATGATTAGAAACAAACTGTTGTGCAAAATTGTAATTTTGTAACAAAGACGGGAATTCTAAGAAAATTCTAAAAAATTTTTTTAGAATTTTGGTTTCTATTAGAAATTTTAGCAAGATCATAAGAGTTTGTTGTTTCACGGCTGCAAAATCTTGATATACTATAACGATGGCAGAATTTTATTTTAATATTGATTACTTTTGATGATTTACGGTTATTCGAATATATTTTTCGTGAAAAATTTGTGTTTTTTTCTCACTTTACTAGAATTTATAGATATTGAAAATTTTAAAATATAAATTATTTAATTTTTTTTTTCTTTTTCTTTTGTATCTTTCCAGAGTCTACGCATAGCGTGGACGGACCTGAATCGTGGCGTTTAACGCTCGATCAGGATCTAATCGACACGCTGAAGGGAAGCTTTCCAAATTGGTTTCAAACAGATAATCCATCAGATTGTTGTAATACAAATAGTAATAGTATAGCTTCATCTTCACCAACATCATCATTATCAACATCTGGTTTATATTCATCTGGTTGCTCATCTATAGCATCTACAACATCGTCAATTGATTCAGCAATTGGAATTAGTTGTATTAGTAATAGTTGTAGTAGTAATAGCGGTGGTAATAATTCTGGTGGTGTACAAATTAATGGTGTCTCTTCAACATCATCATCATCTTCTTCATCATCTTCATCATTATCGTTATTATCATCTTCTCCAATTTTATCTTCATCATCAGCATCATCTTCAGCTTTATCAACGACATCACCATCATCATTATCATCAGTATCAATAATTGGATCATCGTCGAGATCATCATCTTCACCATCTTCTACAACATCATCAGAAAATATAATTAATAATAATAATAGTGGAAATTGTAATTGTAATAGTGAAAATAATAATTGTTTAAATAATAATTGTAATAGTAATAATAATAATAACAATAATAGTAACAGTAATAATTGTTGCTGTAATATTCAACAAAATTCAATAAAATTAGAAGAAACAACATCATCTTTAATAACAACAACAACTTCTACTGAATTAATACCATCAAACAGTGACCTATTATTACCATCATCATCAACATCAATTAGCGGAATTGATAAATTTCCTTGTCGTAAGGGTTTAATTGCTTCAATATCAACATTAGATCAAACATTTCATCAAATTATCTTTGACGAATCATCCTACGACGAAATGGCTGACGGTAAGTTGTTAAATTTTTTTCTATTATTTTATTAATTTTCAATATTATTGTTAAATGTTATTTTAAAGTATTTTAGTTGAACCACTATTGAATATTATTGTATTGATGCAATACTAGTATTTTTAGATTTAGACCTAAACCGAAACTATAGTTAATATTTTTTTTGAACCTTACATCTTGTGAAGATTGCTTGGGGATTAATATTGAAATAAAGAATTTTTAAATTTTTTTCATTAATTTTATTATAAATTTTTAGAAGATAAATGTGTTGGCAGATTTTACCTGGGCCCATTTAATTGGGTGAATATTTGCAACGTTGCAAAATTTGTGATTCATTGCCAAATAATTACAAATTTGTTGAAAGCCCAAAGATTAATTATTTATTTATTAGATTAATTAATAATTACACATTTATCAAATCTCATAGTGATTACCCTAATCATTAGTGTTACCAATAAAGTGTAATCATAATTAAAATGCCTAGATCCGGACTTTGGGGACAATTTGAATTAATTTTTTTTTGTGTGGCTTAAAATAATTGTTTCTACTTTAATTTATTAATTTCAGTAAATTTCATTTAATCTAAATTTAGATTTACTTAAATACAAGAAAAAAAAACAAGAAAACCAAAAATAAAATAAGAAAACCAAAAACATATTTCAAGTAAATTTCTCGGAATAAGTAATTACGGCAAAGTAAAATTCCCAAATTAATTTAAAAATGTTATAATTTCGAAATAAAATATAATGTTGTATTCTTTGTTAATTTTTCTTTTTTATTCATTAAATTTGCTAAGAGCAGAAATTTTTTTACCAAAAAATTTAAGGTACCTCACATTCATTCTCTATTCATGGAATATGATCTGACCGTTTCAGAGCATTCATTATTCTTTGATTTGGATTTTTTTTGTTTTCACTATTTTGCTTGCATTTCTGTTCTTTAATAAACAACATGTAAAGATTTTTTTTCTTATTTCTGAAATTTTAGTTATCTTTTGTTATCCTCTGGCTCTCAAAATGAACAAAAATATTTTTATATATTTATATACATAGCGCCTTTAGGCGAATAAATATTTAAATGAATAGGAGAAGATTTTATTCAAAAAAAAAAACAAAAAAAAAAAGGACTTTTAAAATAAAGTCTCAAATTAAAATTTTTTGAAATGTAGTAAAAAGCTTTTTGATTTGAATAAAACAGGATACTCAAATATTGTTCTTATATCCTTTAAGGATTTTTATTTAGTTTTATTGTCGATATAACATGAAAAATAAAATTTAATTTATTTTAATTATTGAGTGAGAAATTTACCAATTTAATGATTACCTTTTTAATGTGGGCGTAAATCCAGTAATGAAAATTTTTAATTTATTTTTTTTTATTTATTGGAAATATTTGAATTGAAAAGAAGTGTAAGAGTTAAAAAATTTTAAGAAAAAAGTTTTATGTTATAATTGAAAAGAAAAATTTTTTGAAAAGCAATGCAGTTTAGACCAATATTTAGGCCAATTAATGCAACAATATGAGACCATAATAAATCGAAGAGTTTCTGTTCCGGTGGTTGTTTGTGATATTTTCATCATTCTAATCCTAATCGTTTGTTGTTAGTCAATTTTAATATATTGTATCATATACAGTACGCTACAATACAATTTCGCTTCATATACACCGATATTCTCGTAGTCGCATCGTAATGGGTTTGTAATTCAAAAATCTTGAAATTTCCTGAAAAGAATCAATTTCGTAAAAATTTCATACTGAAAAACTAAATTTTTTTCAATAACATTCCATCGCCTCAAGTATCGCCTTAAGTAGACGTTTATCTGTTGAAGTAGACGTTTATCTGTTTTAACGCTTTGTTTTTGAGATGTTAATCTTTGACATTTTCACTTATACATTTTTCTTTAAAATAGTTCGATTGTGGCAGGATTATTGAACTTTTCTCGTACATTTTATTCCAAACATTGACTAATTATTCACAGCTTTACTATAGTATAACTATATATGAATTTATTTTAATAAACTGATCGTAAACTCTCATCTTCATACTCTTAAACTTTTATCAATGATCCATTCAAAATATTTGTGTTGAAATTCAATTCTGCTTGCTCTCTTTTTCGAGTGATTTAAATTGTATAAATTCCATTATATTAATTTTTCATGCAAAGTTTGGCAATTTTTAAACTATGGTTTTAACTAACCATAATTTTAACTAACAGTATGATATGATAATCATAATGGGTGAGGAGTGGCAACTTCTTTCCAAAATTTTATTATTGTAAGTAAGTTTTTTAAATTCATATAAAAATTCTATTGCAAAAATGGTCCTATCTTGTTCTTAAAGTCGCGATCTTGTTTGATATTCCTAATGGTGATTAGAAAATTTGCTCAAACATTAAGTAGATCGAAAATTTTTTAAATATTTGTATTATTTTTATATACTTCTAAAAAGTACCACTAACTTAAATATTTTATTTTTTTTATTTAGGTGATCATTCAGAAAATTTACCAACATCATCATCTGGTGCATCATCTTTAGTAGCTGAATCACCAGATGGTGTATCAGAATATGATTCAAGACAATCACCACCGAAAGCTGTTATTGATTCAAGTCCTTTACAACCACAATTGGATAAAAATAAAGAATGTAAGTTTTTTTTTGTTTAATTTTTATTTTTCTCTTATATGGAAAATTATAGATTTAATTTCGGAAATTTTATTGAATGAAATAAAAATTGTAAATTTTATCACGAAATTTTATTCAAATTCAAATATGAAACTAAGCATATGAAACTAAGCATAATTTAGAATTATCCGATATGACATTCTATAAAATATTTTTGATGTTCTAATTTAGTAAGTTTCAAATTAGATATTTTGTTCTGGGCCTCGAGCTAAAAAATTTGTGAATATTTTATGGGTATTATTTGTCATTTGTTGGTGCAATAATTTTGTATTATAAACTCAGAGAATCTGTCGCTGAGTGACAGAGCGAGTGAAAAGTGATGGTCTGTGTATTGCCAGAATATTCTGTAAATTAATAATATAAAGCAAATGCAAAATTGTAAATTTAATATAAACTTTTCAAATTAAATTTGCAATTTCATTTCTTGTAGTATGCCTGCAATTAACTCCATTTAATTGCAGGCATGCATTTTGTTTTTATCCACCAAATAAATTTAAATAAAAATAAAAAACAATGTTCTAATTAATTTTATTTGGAAAGTATTGAATTGCATAATTTGCATTTTATAGAACTCATCTAGAATTTTAAATACTTACGCAAAAAAGGTGAATTGATAAATAAACAGATTCACTTTTGCTTTCGCTGACCTGTTCATTTAATTGAAATTCAATTCAATTATATTTAAAATTCTAAAAATCTTAATATTTTATTCACATATTTTATTTACTAACTTATTCACACTAATTTGCAGAGAGATCGAACGCAAATAACTTAAGAATATATAAGTTCAATTCAAAGTATTGGAACTTTTCACTTTCGTCCAAATCCGTTAGCCTTTTTAAATTTAGAATTTTGTCTCGTAGATATCAATATGTTGTTCACAGAATTCAGCTGTTAAGTTTCATTTTGAATATTTATCAGAAGTAACTCTCATACAGATGGCTATTCTAGAATTTGGTTGCTATAGAATTTACCATCATGAGATAATTATGAAAATAAATAAAAATTTGACACAATCTGGTTTGTAGCTATATCTAAATTTAGTCATAAAAAATGTTGTTACACTAATGATAAAAGATTTTAATGGTGTTTTATTGAAAGTTATGTGTTTTTAAAAATTATTAAATTATTTAATTTTTCAATCCGTTCATTCAATAAACTATTGCTCAGTACACAAGCTAATTTCAGATTTGTATTTTAAAATTTAAGCGCAATTTACTATGGCTATGGTAATAAGTCGTTTTCATATTGCTTCTGTTTCTTTGACAAATACATACTTATATTCCTAACTGCGCCCATCTTCTTTCGTAGAAATGGAATACACAATTTATATATGAAATACATACAAACTAGGACCTTTGAAACCTCGTAAACTAAACCTTTATGTTCCGCTGTTCGTTATTTTGATTGACTAATTTGTTGAACTCGATCACTGTCTATGTATGCATTAAAATATAATGTTCTAGTTCACAAAACTTTTATATTCGCATTTAAATTTCGAATTAATTAAATTCTATACACATAACATTTATTTCTTTGCACAGTATGTGAGTGAGTATGTGTTGGGTATAATTTGATTCAAGCTGTTAAGACTACTCTCACCTATAGCAATGAAAAAATTATTTATTTTTACATCTATAAATGTAACACAGTGTGTTCATATTATATTAAGTAATATTAAGTAGTGAGAGACGGTGATGAAGTGGAAAATGTGCGTTCTATCACGTTCTCAAAATAATATCACAACAAATGATAAAATGAAAGTGAAAATATTTATTGATGAGTCAACATTTTAACAACGGCAACATTTTATTTTAATTATTTTCATTTCGTATATGGGTGCGTTAGATTCGTATACTAACATCTGTGTGTAAATTAAAAATGATGTGTATGCATGTGTATATTTGGAAAATTTGTAAAACAAAAATTTTTTTGTATATTTTTTTAATTTTTATGTTTTTAAAAATAGAATTTTTTTTTATATTTTATTATTTTTAATATTTTATATAAAAATTATTAAATTATCTTCTGTTTTTCTTTTCATTATTATTTTTTATTTAATAAACATAATTTTGGAAATTGTAAATATTTTGATGAAAATCGAAAAAATGGGTGTTAGAGAATATTTCAAAATGTCTTTAGAAATGAAAAAAATATTATGAGTTTACAGTACATAAATTTTCTTTAACATTGTAATAGGTTAAATTTGTTGGAATTTTTAGGAAATTCATTGAAAAAGTGTGCGGTTCAATTCATTTTTAATAGTGCAAATTTAATGTACATACATTTAAATTAAATAATTTCTAATAAGTATGGCATATTGGATCACTTTTTAGTTATTCTTTTAAGTTTTAACAAATCCATTTTTAATCAGCTTTTATTCAAACTGTGCAATTTAAAGTTAAGATACAGATTTTCATTAATCCTATATGCAGATAGTCACAAAAGACCCACAAGTAAAAGAGTTTCTAAATATAACAATGCTAATTCTTTGTTTCATTTAAAATCGTACATATAACACTCAAATAACATCACCGATTCGAATTACTGATCTTATGAAAAGAGAGTTTTGTAAAAAAGTAGTTGACATTGATAATCCTTGATACGTAAAGGGTTAGATTATACCCGTGTATTGATATAGAGAAAAGGGTTCTTTCATACTTTAGTTGCTCATTACATGACAAGAGAACATAAAATGCCATAATCTATGACGAATTAAATATAAAACTTTTTAGGATAAAATTCGTGATAATTGATATTTCAGCTCATATTTCTTACTTTTGAAAATTTTTTGCTTTAAAATAATTTTTGTATTGTAATTCTGTATTTTAATATTCTAACATCAATTACATTCGACAAATTTATAAATTACAAAATTTTGTAAAATGTTAGCAGGTGACCCTGTCAATTAAATATTTGTAGCTGATAATGGAAAACCTTCGTGAAAATGTTAAAAATCTTAAATGCGTGTAATAAATTTTGCTTAATACAAAAATTGGTGTCCCCCTATTTAGAAAATACGAAAATTTTCAAAATATGTACAAAAAAATATTTAATTTTTTTTGAGATTTTCTGTATGAATTTATTTTTGCGCTTTCAGTTTTTATTGTTATTTTCACTGGTATTTTATTTAAAAAATAATTTTTTTTACATTTTGGAAATTTTGAATAATTTCTGTCTTAAAATTTTCTCTATATTTCATTTTTAATCGGGGGTATACACTAAAAAAGATTGAAAGAGCAATAAAAATAAATGCGAATACTTTTTTTTTTTTTTTAAATTTTTTTTTGTTTTAGTGGAGTGGACACGACGCAAAATTGGTGTGTTTAATAAAATTCATTTTTTCACAAGTGCTACTCTTACGTTGCTTACATGAATTGCATTAAGACTTAAGATATTTGATGATTTGGAAAAAAAATTAAATTTTTTCGTTTTAATTGCTTTAGATTTTGCGTTTTTGTTGTTTTCTTGGTGAAACGCGGCTCTTTTGATTTCGTGGTTATTTTTTTTTTTTTTTTTTTGGTTTTTCTTATTTACTATGGTTTTGTCTGGCTATAATTAAAATGTAAACCGACAAAAAATATAATTTATAGTTTAATTATTTTGAAAATGGGTTAAAAAATTTTGCAAATTTTATTCGCTTAAATATAAAAATTTTTGTAATAGATTTAGATTAAGTGAAATTTTATTATATTGTGATTAAAAATAATTGTGTGTGTTTTCTAACAAAATTTCCAAATTTAGAAAAGCAGTGGGGTCGAAAGTTTTTTAACATGCCAACGAACAAAGGGTTGTTATAAATACAAAATCTTGGTAAAAAGTACTAATTTATTTAACCCTCTCCGTCCATCCGTTTGACTGTTTATAAAATTTTTGATATGATGAAGTCTTAATACAATAAAGTTGTAACACACCAGTAAATAGTTTATTTCATTAAAAAAAAAAACTTTTTTCCAACTTCACTATCACTCTAATCGTCTCTCTAAATTCAAAAAGTTTAAATTTTCGGCGCCTTATATTTTTGAAACTACAAGATTCTTCAAATTTCTATAAGAGCGAAAAGTTAATGGTAAATGCCAGTCTATTAACTACTCCATTAAATCTTAACTCACACAATTAACCCCTGAATTCGATTATTATGTTAACGCGTCTTTTATTTTTCATCCTAAATATAGGCAATAATTTTTTACACATTTTAATAAAAATAATTGAGATTGTTAGTAGATTACTTCTTAGAAAAAGTATTTTGAAATGTATTTTCACAAGGCTAAACCGCTATACTTTATAAAACATTGGTTTAATCCGAGTTTATTTATCTATATAATAGACGTCGCCTTCTTAATTGAAAACAAAACTGAAATTCATATAAAATTTGAAATAATATGATAATATTTTATTTATTTCGAATTCGAAACGATTTCAAGTTCAGGTTTATCATCGTTTTATTGCTATCTCTGCTTATAATTTGGGGATACGGAAAATATGATATTTGGAATTTCAAAGTGTTGAGAAGAGTTTTATTATTAACTTGTTACGGAAGCACTACTTTTATTACTAATAATAACATATAAAAATTTATAAAAACAATTCGTTAGCATTGTTCCAAGAGAAATTGAAAAACTAGTTATAAAAAGGCTTATTAATCAAAAAAATATTGAATAGTTATTAAAATAATTCTAGACCTAAATACACAATTCAGCAATTATAGCTCATAAGCTGAATTGTGTTTGAATACGCAATCTTAAACAATATATATAAAAATATAAGTAAATAAATAGACCAATCATTTTAAGATGAAAGGAAAATATTTTATACTTTGAAAGTGGAAAAGCGGAAAATGGAATTGAAAAATTCTACGAAAAGAACTTTATTTTAATTACAAATTTATGTACCAAATCATTTCCTCAAAATACTCACAAATTTTTCTCAAGTTTAATATGTAAAACATGAGAAACTATCTA